ATTCTTCATCCATGTGGTCACAGACCGCCGTCTGCAGCTCCGCCTCTGATCTTGACGTTATAAACTTTGACTCCATCTATTGGATGTTCTTCTTCACCTACGGCAGTATTTCAGCTCGTTTGGATGTTTGATTATAGATTTTTGTAGATATTTTCAAACTCATTCTGGACGATACCGACGTTGACACCAACTTAAACACACCGTCTCTCCTGTCCCTCAAACTGTTTTAGATTTTTTACTTTAACTTAATTATATCAGCTGATCATTAAATGGGTAGAAACGATCGAATCTTCTGCAGAACATGATACTCTTTAACTTAAAACAACTCAAAACTAAAACAGAGGAACTAGAATTAAAAAATGTCCAAATTTAACTAGAAAATAGGAGTTAAAATCAACTATTTAAAAAAAGGATAACTTTAAAAACTGAAAAAAAGATCTTTCTTTGTTAATTCAGACTGATGTGTAAATGTTGTAAAAACCCTCAAATTTATCAAACCAAAGACATTCTGTGAAGTCTCGTTTAAAAATGAAGACGAGACGATAGTAAACATGAGGATAAAATCTGAGGAACTGAAAATGATGGATCTTAATCTAAAGTCTAAAAATGAAAACATGAGTGTGTTTACCTCCGTCTCCAGATCCTGATCCTCCATCTGACAGAGACACAAACACAGACCGTCAGATCAGACCACCATCACAACTTTCAGCTCATTCTAAATCCACTGAATCTGGAAACACGAACAAACACAACATCTCAATCCTCCAAACAGCCGAGCATGTCTGCGTTACCGTGGTAACAGGGCCCCTCTGACACGATGCTGATGGCTCTCTGTTTCTTACAGGCGGCCCTCCTGAGGAAACACTCGTTCTGGTACGTGTCTCCGTTGGACCCACACACTGGGATGTACTTCTTATGACACTGAAACACACACACACAAACACACACACACAGTTTATTTATAATGAAATTTATTATTATTATACATTTTATTATAATTATTATCATTATTTATTATTATTGTTATAAATTGTGTGATCATTATAATTGTTATCATTTTAATTATACTTTTTATTATTATGACTATTATTAGTATCAGTTGTATTGGTATTATTTTTATTATTATCATCATTATTATTATTTTTATTGTTATTAATTTAATTATCATTATTTCTTATTCGTGTTATTTTGTGCTATTTTATTTCAAAATTTTTATCAATTGTATTAATATTATTTTTATTATTATCATTAAATTATTATTCTTATTATTTTACTATAATTATTATTACTTTTTAATATTGATTTATTATTATTGTCATTAATTTAGTTATTATTAATAATAATTGTTTTATTATTAATATCATTATTTGTTATTATTGTATATTTTTTATCATTATTATTATTGTTGTTAATTTAATTGTTATTTTTAATATTATTATTATTATTTATTATCATTCTTGTTGTTCTTATTATTATTATTATCACTGTTATTATTATTATTGTTTATGATGATCATATCTAAAAGTATAAAAAGTTTGTGCAGAAAGTGTTTTATGATCAGAGCAGATGTAGATAAATCCCATTTCTGCTCTCTAACGTATAAACTCTCTCTCTCTGTCCTCCAGATCGTTCTCCTCTGGATCCACCAGGTCATGTGACATGATGCTCATGGTGTCAGAGACGTCTGCAGGTAAGCTCCTGTTCATAAACAGTTCAGGTTCATGTCTAAGTGGAACCACCACAGACCCAAACTCCTCAGGGTGTAAACACAAACAGCCGAGTGTGTGTGACTCACATGAAACTGACACACACACTTGATGTCGGCGCCGTTCTCTCGACAGGTTCCTCCAAAGCGACACGTTCCGGCGTCACACACTCGCAGGTCGCTCTTCTTCTCGGACAGATCTGAAAAAAAAAAAGGAGAAACAGAATCTGATGAGGTGGGGTTAGGTTCAACTGAAGACAACGAGGATCTGCTGAGAGGTGAGACCATCAGAGACTCTTCACAGCTGCACGTGTTAAAGAGATCTGAAAACCAGTCAGAAAGGAGCGTCAACAGCCTTTAAACCACAGCTAAAGACCACTCAGGGGAACACTCTGAAGATGCTCACAGAGACGTCAAATAAAAACCTGTCAGGATAAACTTTAACAGGTGGATCAATAACCTCAGAATTTAACATAAAAGGTTAAAATTTAAGAAACTTTGACATAAAAATTGGTAAAACATGTTGAAACTTTAAACTTTCTCTCATGGTGCAGAGGTGGAGACTACGCTGAGTCTCAGCTTCACTGTAACTGCATGATTCTCTGATCGCTCAGTTTCCCTGTTAAACCAGCTGAGCCTCTCTAAACCTCGGTGCTCTGAGGACTAAATACTCAGATGTGACGGTGATTTTATGACGACAAACAGGCTGAGGAGATGCAGAAAAACTACGTCATGTTGCTGTTTTGTGAATCAGTCTGATTTCATCCTCCGTCTGCTTCACCTGCAGCCTGAGAGGCCGACAGAGTCAAAAATGATGTTTTTTTGAATGGAGTTTGGTTAGAGCCTCTCTGATGCTAAGACCTCAAAGATCCTCTGGGTTTTAAACGTCACTGTGGTGGATCCTCTGAGGACTCTGAATATCAGTGGTGTTGGGACTTCAGTCTACGGACCACCATCCAGACCACATGAGACTCACAAGTCCTCCACGGGAAACGCTGAAACAACCGACACACACCGTCTATTATCCAGGGTAGTCATTTCCTGATGGCAGCTGATTGGTTGGCTGCGCTGCACACTAGCCTATTAGAGCAGGTAATTACAGGGGTCGTGACCCCCGCCTCCTCTGTAATTAGTAAATACCTCTGAGTGCTGAGGCAGCCTGAACCAGCGGCTGACACACAGAGGCTACTGTGGGGGCGGACAGAAAAACAGAACCGCTGTGTTCCCAGGATCCTCTCTGTCAGCTCCTGTCTGCAGACTGAGCGCTGCTGTTCCAGTGTCCGATTTCTGCCAGAACTGCTGAGGACGGGAGATTTAAACCGATCCCTACATTCAGAGGAAGTAAAGGAAAGACCCCCTGAAACAGGCCTAAAGGTCCCTGAAAACATCTGAGGGGGACAGGAAGACCTGCAGACGGACATGGACAGGTTCTCGTCATCTTCAGCTGCAGGACGAGATTCTGGTTCTGAATGAGCAGCTGACTGGACTCGCTCAGGAATCATTAACCCTCTGGGGTCCTTAAAAACACTGATAATAAATAAAAAATGATAATGCACCAAAATTAATGTTATTTTTTGACGTATCACAGACCTCGATAAAAAAAAAAGAAATCCCTGCCCAACGTTTAATAAATGTTAAATAACTTCAAATTCCTTTTTTTTACCATTAAAAATAACAGTGACGTCATGTAATCAAACAGGCATTAAAAGGGTTAAAATTCTGAAAATTAATTGATATTTGATAGATATGATCAGGAATGAAGTTGACTGAAAGTTCTGAGCAAAAAAAGTTGAAAAAACATTAATTTTTAATATTTTTAGAGAACTCTTAGTAGGTGGACATTCTTGTTTATCAAAGGACCTAAACGTTTAGTGTTTTTGTCACACTGATATAATAATGAGTGATCATGTTTTAAAAGTTGGGAAGAAAAAAAAAACTGAAGGAAATCATTCACACAGCCAAAATGATCAATAAATAAAAGGTTAAAAGTCGACAAAAATGGACAAAAATGTCCTGAGATCCCAGAAGGTTCATGGAGCTGTTGACAGATTCAGTGTTTCCGTCTACAGACGGACAGTTCAGATCAAACTCCGACTGTAAAAAGACTTTTCCTCTGAAAAGGGGAGTGTCTCCGGGTCTGAACCAATCATGTTCTGAATTAGAACCAAGTATCAACCAACTGCAGCGTCGTAGCAGACAGCAGCTCCACCCAACCATAGCACTTTAACAGGTGAAGCCGACAGCACTGTTGGTGAGAAACAAAGAAAATGAGTGCTACCAGAAAAGGAGCCCATGGCGCCTGAAACAGACGACCATTCAGTCGTCTTTCTCTAGAGCGACGCCTTACGACAAAACGTCAAAGAGACACAAAGACCTCACAGATGCAGGAGATTATTGTGTTGGAAAAGACATGAGACCAATAAACACTGTTAGATTTTTAGATCCTGATATTGATCGATATCAGCTGATATGAACAAAAATATATCCTGATAAACTTTTTCTCAGATCACCCAGCTCTCGTCATAATTCATCCTTTCATTATCAAGACCTGCAGGAGGACCGATCAGGGTCAGAGGAGAGAACTGAAGTGGGTCAGTGAGGAGGAATCCTGTCCCCTCTCATCCCGTCTTCATGTCTCGCTCTCTCTGAAGAAGTTTAATCAACCCCCCCCCCTTTCATCCCTGCTCTGTTGCCGTAGTTACAGACTGCTCAGCTGACAGCTGTTTGTTGCATCAGCAGTCCCAGTTTGTTTACAGCATCAGTCAGGTCTGCAGAGACCCCGACAAAGAGGCTCTGCAGGGACTTCAAGAGACCAGAGCGCAGATTCATCCTGAGGCCTGATCCATGAGAGCAGGACCGACACATCGGGGGGGACCGTGTGATCCCAGAGGCCAAGTCAGGTCCTAAAGGCCAGAACCAAGGTTCGAGACTGGATCAGGAGCGCCAAGATCCCAGACAGATGATCCAGAACCTGGCCCAGGACCTGATCCAGAATATTACTGATCAGAGTGATGTAGGTGATAGAAGTTTAGTGTCAAACCAGAACCCCAAGACCAGAGGATGGGGTTTCCAATACGCAGCATCTGATGGAGGAGACTCCATGATGGTTTCCTGTCAGGAACCGAATCCTGGGCTTTGACCCAGATCTGGGACTAGAACTCAGAAGTTTCTCAGTTTCTTATGCTGCGTCTCAGTTGTACCAGAAAGTCTGGATTTCTGAGTTCTGAGTCAGAAATTTATCTAGAACGCCCCCCCTGAAGTCGGGTTTCCGACTCGGAAAGTTGGACGTTCCTGGTCTGTCCGGTGCTGTGGTGTTTGTAAGAGTCAAATACTGAGCTGTGCGTCCTTTACAACTGGTATCGCTAACAACAACTAAAAACAGCTAACAACAGCTAACAACGACTGACAACGGCTAACAACGGCTAACCACGGCTAACTGTAGTTGTCCATCTTGGTTTTCCGACTCGGGTGTAACGTCAATCCGAGTCCGAGGAAACTGGAACGCAGCATAAATACGTAAACATGTTCATTTGTGCTCTTCGATCAGACATTTGAACATGGAGCTCTATGGGGACAGACTCACTTTTGGAGACTGCCTCAAGTGGACATTCGGGGAACTGCAGCGTTTCAGACTGGCTTCATGTGTGAGGACAACTGGATCGTGAATTTAGTCCTGAATCTGGTCTGAGGTCAGTCTGTGAGTGAAGAAGTGGAGCACCACACACACACACACACACACACACTCTTACGCTCAGCTGACTCCATTCTCTCTCTCTCTCTCTCTCTCTCTCTCTCCTTGTTTTTCTCCTCCTAACCTACATCCATCCAGAGATGCTCCTTCAGCTCAGGGACACTCAGGAATGATCCCAGGTTTTGTTGGACCGGGTTTGGGTCAGGGTTCTGCACAGACCAGTAAAGTTCTTCCTCTACAAACCAAACAGAGTTTGAGAGACAGCCTTCCTCTAACCTCTGAAACCATCAGACCGATCAAACAGAAGGACGTTAGTTTCCCTGACAAAAGCTCCATCTCGACCCTCATTTACACATTTCTCTGTTTTAGACGCCAGAATGAACCCGGAGGTCGTAAATCGTTCACGGCTGAATAGGAACAGTGACAGAGTGGTGCGTCTCCTCAAGAGAACATCTGTGGCTGTGAGGAGGGCGGACATCTTTGTGGAGGTTTCAGATCCCCTGAAAATAGAAATCATGAAGATTTTCTTCCTTCAGATCCTCCAGAAACTTAAAGCCACACTTTGAAGACGGATCAGCGTCTGTAGGAGGGATTGGAGTTTATTTTAGTCTCTGTGTAGATCAGAGGAATGATCCCAGCGAGAGCAGGCGGGAAAAGATCGACGAAATAACCACAAACTCCTTCTAGAGGATCATCGAAAATCCAGAAGTTCAGGTTCAAACCAACAACATGTTTGACCGACTGTTGAAACGGTTTCTCCAAATGATCGACCCTCAAAGACTTGAGAGGAGCTCACTGAGGAGCGTTTTCATGCTGGAGTTTAGATGGAGAACAAAAGAGCTTTAACAGAGAAACTGAGACTCTGAAACAGACGACAGACGACGGGAGACCAGAGAGAAGAGAGACTGTTAAAGGGATATTCTGCTGTAAAACTAATTTAGGGTCAAACCCACCGTAACCCCGAGTTAGACCCCCCCTCCAGAGATGAATGTTGTCGACCGCTTCCTTCTCTAGTTATACCAACTTTAGTAACGACCGCAGGATAGAAATACAGAGAGACACGCCCCCAACCAAAACGCCACTCTATAGCGGTAGTTCTTCTGTCTTAGCGTCTCGGTCTGATTGTATTTCCATGAAGAAATGATCATAAATGTTCTTCCTTGAGCTGCGGCACCCCGCTGTAGTCCGTAATGGACTGGCCTGAGGTCTCTCTACAAACAAGCGTCTGCTGGAAGAGAGTAGGTGAGTTGTGTTTAGTCTCTTTGTTAAAGAAATGAGTCAAAGTTAAAAAGATGTTTGGTGTCTAGTACTATGGCTGTGACCCTATATGTACTAACCTCTGTAGATCATGGTGTAGTTCCGTTCAGTAACAGAACCTCATTGGAAAATTAGCTGATTTAACTTTACTGTGCTCTTGTTCAAATATATTAACTCGACAGCACATAAATCCATACCTGTTAACAAAATCATGATTTTATTGATAATTCGGCTCAATAAAAACACCTTTACCTTTTCATTTTACTACAGTGGAAGTTTATTGGCCCAGCTTATAGACTACAGAGGTGGAGAAACGCCCCCGTTTAAGTTTGTTTTCTTAGGAGTTAGAACAACTCTGAATATAGTACTATGTCTGTGACCCTATATGTCCTGTTGATGAAGTTAGGTGAAGTTTTACGCCGGAATATCCCTTTAACAGAGAAACTGAGACTAACTCTAAAACAGTGGTCTCAGATTGAAGGTTCGTCTTTTTCAGATTTTTAAACCCTGATATCTGACCTGTTACCTCTCTCTCTCTCTCTCTCTCTCTCTCTCTCTGTTTGTAGGTTTTTTACCCCTGAGTGACTCTCGGGTCCGTACGGTTCAGGTCCAAACAGAACCAGAGTTTTTCAGTGAACAGGGTTTCTATGAGTCCATATAGGCTGAACCACAAACACACACACCCAGTACCCACTCATTTAACCTCGCCCTGCTCCTCCACCCTGTCATTAAGAGCTAAAATAGAGCCCAGTTAAAGTGAGGAGTGGTCACACACACACACACACACACACACACACACACACACACACACACACACACTCAGGCCTTGAACATGATTCACTGAGCTTCATGAGTGTGTTACAGGTGCGTTATTGACACCTCTGATATTAAACACAAACACACACACACATCAGGAGTCTCCATCAGGTCGTCATGACAACAGAAACACAAAGATGGATCAGCCGGGTCACATGATGAGGCGAAGAATCAGGAACAGAGGACGTCTTTGACCTCTGACCTCCACATGGAGAACCTCAGGTAGGCCCACCTCCACCCTCCACCCTGACAGACCTGCAGTTAGGGGGTCCAGGTCTAAACGGGGACGTGAAAGACTCTCACCTGGACAGTCGGAGGCCTTTCCCGGGCCGCAGTCCTCTCTGCTGCGGGGGAACGAGCTCCGGGCGGCGGGGAGGAGCAGCAGGAGGAGCAGGGAGCAGGACCAGGAGAACCGGGACGCCGGAGCCATGATGGAGGGTGGAGGGAGAGAGAGGGGGAGACTAAAGGGGTGAGGGAAAGAGGGAATAAAGGAGAGAAATAAAGAGAAATGTGAGGAGAAAGAGAAGAGTGTGGGGGGTGAGGGGTTGGGGGAGGAAGGTTAGAATAGAGAGATGGGTGAGGAAGAAAAGGGTGAGAAGGTGAAGAGAGAGAGAGAGAGAGGGGGGAGAATGAATGAAAATCTGTGTTTTTAGGGGGGTTCGTCCTCCTGAATAAAGACCCAGGCCGCAGAAAACTGAAGTCCTGCAGACCACCTCAGTCCAGCTCAGTCCGCTTCAGATCCCGCTCCTCTGCTCGGGTTTAATCCGGATTCAGAAAAACTCCATCCACGGACCCCCGGACTGAAGACCCGGAGCTGAAAAAGGACCGAAAACAGGCCGAGAGAGCCGGTAAACCGAGCCCAGGATAACAAAGCGAAAACAGGGCCTGGGGCTTCACACACCGACCCCCCACACCTCCACCACCTCCTCCTCCCCTTTAAACCAGCCTGCTCCTCCTCACAGACCCGACTGAGCCTCCATCCCCCAGCCCCGCTGCTGCCTCGCTCTCAAACCGGCGGGGAGAACCGCGGAGCGCCGCGGAACACCGAAGAAAAGATCCAGGAGGAGAACCGGAGAGAGCGGCTCACACAGAGGCATCCAGGCCGACGAGGAGTGAGTGTGCGCCGGGGACGATGGACGGATACGGATCGGTAGGTCGGTCGGTCGGACCGGGACTCTTTTTTTTTTTTTTTTTTGTCTTCCTGAATCACATCAACAAAGACTGAGACCACGTGACCTGAGGGAGGCCACTCCCACCGAGGGAGAGAGAGAGAGAGAGAGAGAGAAGGGGGGGGGGGGGCTCCAATTTCAGCTCTAATTATAATAATAACAGTGATATTAGTAATAGTTATAGTAATATAATGTTAATAACGTGATAATAAACAGAGAGGATGAGCAGCAGAATAATCATAGATTTTTTTTTAATAATCAGATTTTATTTTATTTTCATAATTTACATCAAAACAAATATTTTAATTCAAATAAGGTCGAAAATGACAAGAAAAGGAGAAAACATGAGGGTGAAAAACAACAACAACAACAGTGTGTCCTCAATTAAAGAAATATGTGTCCTTGTATTTATTAAAAAAGTATTTTTCATCATCAGCTCAGTCCAGGACCCCCTAAACCACCGTCTCCCCTCTGTATAATTTCACTTTGACCTTTAGGAAAGTAACCAATAAGGAGCCTCTGTGTGTCCATAAAGATATTATTATTACATTTGAATTTGGCTCTTATCCTTTCCACCAATAAACATTCTTTGTACCTCTGAGTCACAGTGGAGGTTTGTTAAATCGTTTACAGTTTCTGTCCAAAAATCAAAGTTTATTCAGTCATTTTGATCTTTTCTTACATCCAGAACTCTGTTTTGAACTTTGATATTCTTGGACATCTCCAGAAGTATATATTTGTGTATATATGTTCACATCTGTTAACTTACATTTAAGGCACAGTGGTGATCTATTAGAGTCAGATTAGTTCATAACCTGAGGTGTCCATCTGTCTGAGAAATATTCGACTATATTTCTTTGAGTTGATCACTGACAATCAGAGAGTGAGCGGTCTGAATGAAGGTGAAATGTAGTGAAATTAGAATAAAAATGTTGAGACAGAATAAATAAATGTAAATTTCAGAAAATCAAAGTAGATCAAAATATAAACTGTAATTTTAATAAAAGATTACACAACTCTCAAAATAATCTGCATTAGTCGAGTCATTACCGCAGAATCATCAACCACAAACCTTTTTATTTTATTTTATAAAACTTAAAAATAATAAACATGTCATTAGATATTTCTGACAAGCTCTCAAATTTACTGTAATGACTGTTTTTTTCTGCTTTTTCTCTGTTTCTGACTTCCTGCTCCTCACTAATCTGATGATCATGAAGAGATTAAAAATATTCAGATTAAAGACTCGCTATCAAATGGAGTCTTCTTTCTTTCTTTCTTTCTTTCTTTGAACACAGAGGAGCCTCAACAGTCGAGTCTCAGCCTGATCAGTTTACATCTTTTTATCTCACAGATAATAAATCATATTATTTTACCTCTCACCTGCTTTTCTTATGAACTCCATTCCTCTGCCTGGACTGACTGTCTTTAAAAACACACAAAAATATCAGATTATATTCATGAATGTGTCTTAAAAGTGTGTTTGACACGGTCGTTCATCCGTCTGGTGAGATTATTCCTGTTTTTTTGGGGTGTGAAAAATGAGGAGAAACCTCCGACAGATGAAGTCGTTTCTCATCCGTATTTTCTGAGAATTAAACTCCTTTAGTTTTTGCAGATATAGTGTAAACTTTATATTGTGGACAAACAGACGGTTTTCTTTACCTGGAGGTTCTGGACTCACTCAAGTCTTTTTACCTGAAGGCAAAACTTTAGTCAGAACCTCCAGAGGATCCAGAACTTTCTGGTCTTCATGGAAATTTAGACCAAAGAACCGAACAGCAACAGTTCACCTAAATATCAACATGTAAACTAACCTGACGGCAGGATTACTGATGCAGTGCTGACATGAGTCACCAGGGGGCAGTAAACGATCATGCAAACACAAAACCACAGAGGTGAACAAGAACTGCAGTAGGCCAGTAGAAAGGTTCTGAACTTTCAGAACTTTAGTTCTGATTTGAGTCCACATTAAGAGAGGAAACACTTCACAACCACAATAATTAATAAACGGCAAATAGATATTTTATTAATGTTTAATCACTTAAAAACAGCATATAGACCAATAATAAATAGATATTTTATGAATGTAAGTGAAAGTTACTTTACCATTAACAAGCAATAAATTATAATTAATAATCTTCATTAATTATTATTGGAATATTTATTAAAGGTTCAAATATTGGTTATAAAACATGTAGATTAAAATGTCTGTCAGTATCACTTTGTAAATGATTAATATTTGTTCAATAAATCATCTATAAACATGATTTAGATGGTTGTTGTAAAGTTAGGATTAGGGTTTTAAAATTAACAATTTATTAAAGGTCTATATGCTATTTATAAAAGATGATTAAACATTAATAAACTATCTGATTACTATAAATAAATGGTCTTTATAAGTTATCATTATTCTAAAGTGTTGCAGAAAATCAAGTTTTATTGAATCAATCAAATTAATACTTTAATTTTAGATAAAAAAAACAGAAGGTTGAATTATTCTTAAACAAACGAAAAAGGAGAAAGAAAAAGTAAAAACCATCCTGACTGCAGTAACGAGCGGCGGCCAACAGGGGGCTCTGTCTGTCTGCAAACAATATCAAATCATAAACCATCTCTGCTTCTTCTGTTTCCTTATTTACCTAAACTCTGTGGTCAGCAGGTATGGAGGAGGAGGAGGAGAGAGGAGAAACAGGAGGAGGAGAAACAGGAGGAGAGAGGAGAGACGAAAGAGAGGAGAAACAGGAGGAGAAGAAACAGGAGGAGGAGGAGAGAGGAGAGAGGAGAAACAGGAGGAGAAGAAACAGGAGGAGGAGGAGAGAGGAGGAGAGGATTTCAGTGTGTCTGAGAAGTGAGGAGACAGAGGAGTCTGATGGAAAGTCTGCAGAGATCATGAGAGTTAAAAACTGTTGAAGTGAACAGAGAGAGTCGTCGTTCTGAAACTCAATAAAGGAGGTTTGATTAAATTAAAGAGACTGAAGGATTAATTAGATCTGCTGTCTGATGATATAAAAGATCCTGTTAGTCAGACTGATGAGTGATCTACTCAACAATCATGATTTTAAAATCACTGTCAATAATCATGATCATGAAGTTTTCTATAATAGATCAGTCTGAATGTTGGTGAAGATGATGATGATGATGATGATGATGATGATGATGATGATGATGAGAGTCAAAGTGACGCAGCTTTGAGTCTGAGTGTGAGGTCAGTGTTCAACACACACACACACACACACACACATACACACACACACACACACACACACACACACACACACACACACACACACACACACACACACACACACACACACACACACACACACACCCTGTACAGTTAATCTTCATCCTTATTTTAATCCATCTGGGCTCATTAGTTCACTCTCTCTCCTCTCTCCTCCCTGATCCTCACTCCTCTTCCTTTGTTTCCTCCTCTCTCCTCCTCCTCTCTCTCCTCACTCCTCTCTCCTCTCTCCTCCTCTCTCCTCCTTCTCCTCCTCCTGGTCTTTGGAGGTTAGACTCTCCTTAAACTCACCCTCAGAAAAGAGAAGCTGAGTCTGAAGAAACACGTTCCTGTTGAAACACAGAATCTGTCAGAGTTAAACTGTAGAGGCCTCACTTTAGTATAAATGTATATTTGTGTATCAATAATTCTAGTTATTAATCAGTTATTGACAAATGTACAAACTGAAGCAGGTCCATGACCTCCTGATCAGGATTTCCTGAGTTCAGGCTGATTATTCTGGTCCTGTTCTCGGTGAAGGTCCGGTCTCTGTCCCGGATTTAACTTTGTTCTACAGTGAGTCTGTTTTTATTATTTTACATCCAAACCCTCACAGTCGTTCCTGCAGCTCTTAGACCTCAGACCTTCTGACCCCTTTGGACCTGGGTTTGATGATCAGAATATTGATTTTTGACGTTAACATGATCAGGACTGTTGGAGCCGATCAGTGAGGAAACTGAGGCTGGAAGGAGTCGTGGTCTTTAGGGTCTCTGCAGAGTCTCAGTCGTGGTCTTTAGGGTCTCTGCAGAGTCTCAGTCGTGGTCTTTAGGGTCTCTGCAGAGTCTCAGTCGTGGTCTTTAGGGTCTCTGCAGAGTCTCAGTCGTGGTCTCTCGATAATGTCGCACAGAAAACTGAACCTGATAGAATATTTATAACCCCCCCGTCAGCGTTCATGAAAACTGAGGAGGAAAAACACCTCCAACTATGGCTGTGAAGGTGCTGCTGTAGCGCCCCCTGCTGAAATAGACAGACTTCTTCTCCAGGTCAAAGAAAAATGTAGAGAGACCTCAGGCCAGTCCATTACAGACTACAGCGGGGTGCCGCAGCTAAAGGAAGAACATTTATGATCATTTCTTTGTCATTTCTTTGAAGTAATAATCATCTTGGTCTGAGGAGACCAGGTCTGAGGAGACCAGGTCTTCCATCAGATCGTTTTTTATAGACCGTTAGTTAAAAAAAAAATCAAGGTCATGAGATCGACCAATCAGAGGCACAGCTGGCTTGACTGACAGCTGAGGACACTGGAGGTGTTAGCGAGGAGGTTGAAGGTCTCAACATGGGGACCAACATCACCGACACCTCGTCCACTCACAATCCAGTCTGAGGACACAGAAGGTCAACAAAGTGACGAGGAGAGGATCATGGGAGACCACGGCGATCTGAACTTCATCAGAAAGACATGAAGAGAAGAAGAATGTGGACCTGGTCCTGAACCCGAGTCTCTGAGTCGAGTCTGAACCTGGCGGTGAGTTTTTTCCTCTGCAGATCGATCGGACTCTAAATTCTGGATCCATAAAAGTGAACGGTACCTGAGGCTGAGCTCTGTTGGGTTTAGGTGGGTCAGGTGGTCTGTTTTAAAGATCTAGATCCAGGTACGAGCTCCACCTGAGGTCTTTGTGACCCACTTTGAGCCGGTCTGAGGTTTTTCTGCCCGGCGACAGGCTGTCAGTGTAAATTTGAGACAAATGAGTGAAAAAAAAACATTAACGTTGTTTTTTAAATGGATTTCAGGTAAACGAGCCGCAGAGAGGAGGTCTGAATTATGGATGCAGAAAATAGTGCATTGTGGGTAAATCAGTGACCCCATTATGGTTAAAAGGTGTGCGGGACGAGAACAAAGAGCAGAGAGACGTGAATAAAACATGAACGAGAATTTGTGTCAATAAAAGAGTCAAAGTTAAAGATCAGAGACGTCAGCGAAAGAGTGAAAGTACTTTAATATGGTCATAATTTTACCGTAATGACTCTAATAGACAAGAAGAGGAGATTCTTTTTATCTCCACAAACGTCTAAAAAAACTGATGGTCTTATTTTTGAGGTTTGGTAACTCTTTATTATGGTGGCCGAGAGCTGCCTCCGCTGCAAATAAAAAAGAATGTGAGAAAACGAAGTCACAACGGAAGTTAACGATGCAACAAAACAAAAAAAGTAACTTACTGCCAAAATAAAAAAAGAATGCAAAAAAAAGAGAAAAAAAGGAGCCACAACAGAAGTGACCGATGCAAAAAAAAAAAGGAAAAGGTGCAGATAAAAAAAAATTAAAAAATACAATGGAAGTTAATGATGCAAAAAAAAGTGACGGCGAGAAGACGAGCAAAGAAGTTCATGGAAAAGTTATTGATTAATTTCACTTCATAAACTTTTTAATGTGTAATTTTAGACCATGTAGAGCCTGAGTCCATATGAAGTTAAACTGAAGCCAAAACTACACCGACATCCTCCAGTTCAACTTCATATGGACTCAGGCTCTACATGGTCTAAAATTACACATTAAAAAGTTTACGAAGTGAAATTGATCAATAACTTTTCCACGAACTTCTTTGCTCGTCTTCTCGCCGTCGTCTTCTCTGCCGAGATCGTAAAACACCGATGCATCATCATTATTACAGCTCACTACTGTTATGACTTTTTTTATTTGCATCCTTTTATTTTCGCAGTAAGTAACCTTTTTTTCTCAGTCGTTAACCTTCATTGTGTTTTTTTCTTTTATCCGCACCGTTTCTTTCTTTTTCTTTTTTTTTTTGCAGCAGGCTTTAGTTTCTTTTTTCTTTTTTTGCATCGTTAACTTCTGTTGTGACTCTTTTTTCCATTCTTTTTTATTCGCAGCAGGCGGTTCTCGGCCACCGTACATTAAATTATTATTGAATTTACATCATCAGTTCAAAAATAAGAGACTCACTGTAAAATCCACTCTCTTTGTGAGGTCGACAGATTTCTGCTGAGAAATCCAGGATTTTAATGTTTGAGTCGGAGCATTTGTTGGATTTAGTGACTAATTTTCTGTGGATTCATGTCACTGCTCCTCTTTAGTTTTGGTCAGTCATGTAAAGAAACAAAATCTGTTTCCCTCCTCCCAATAATAAGTGTTGTTTACATGTCCTGATAATGATGTTTGTATTGAACAAAAACAGCTTCAGTGTTTATCAGAGAAACTCCAGAAAACTGAAGCTGCTGCTCACCAAACTGGATTTTTATTCCCCACAGAAACAATGGATTTATGTGTTTGTTAATTAAGCTGATTGGGCTGAATTAGGGAAGGAGGTGTGGACTCAGAGGAGGTGTCTGGAGGAGGTGTGGACTCAGAGGAGGTGTGGACTTCCCTCAGCAGCAGATCCGTCACTCAGCTGGAGTCTCTCTCACAAACCGGATCAGCTCCTCTCTCTCTCTCTCTCGGCCTCTCGGTGTTTCTCTCCGCCTCACATGGAGGAACTTTGTCCCCTCTTCGCCCAGACTCCACCTGAAGACCAACTTTTGGGAGTTTAAGCAGAAAACCTGCAGCAGAAGAGGAGGAGGAGAACATGAAGCTGAGCGCAGGAGGAGCGGCGCTGCTGCTGCTGCTGCTCGGCCGCTGCTGCTGCACCAAACCCGGCCGGAAAGGTAGGAGGGAGCCGGGGAGAGAGCTCCGGAGAGGGGGAGAGAAGGGGTGAGGGGGTGAGGGTGCACCTGTAGACTAAACTTAACTGATTTACATTTTAAAGGTTGATGATTAAAAGTGAAATTTGGAAGTTAAAGCGATAAAATCTGAGCCGGTTGGAGCGAAAATGCGGATTATTTCAGATTAATCCAAAGTTTGTAGAGTTCAGTTTGTTCTTAAAGAAATATGAGAGAATAAAAATGACTAAAATGTTTTAAAAGTGTCAGTTTAGACCTCCATAGATGTCTCCTTTAACACTGGCCTTATAGCCAATGTCAGACTGACACCTATAATAATAAAGGGGCTGGAAAATAACTTCATCAGAACAAGGTCTGAGTTTATGAGTTTATTCTGTTCCAGAAAAATAAGACAAAAAACACATTTTTATTCTTAATCATGACCACATTTTTAACTCATAAATGCATAAAATATATATTTTATAATGTAAAGTATGATATAAACTCATAAATCATCCTAAAAAGCAGTGAAAGTGATAACAGTCATGATAACAGATGTCAAAGTCAGGAGGTTAAAGATGGATTCATGAAGTTATTAAAGGCTCTAAATTATGGGGGTGTTAACGTGTCACTTTAACAAACAGCCGTTCAGATTATTATCACAGACAGTTCAATCTGAAACCGTTTAAACAGGTTGAAACTCGGTCTCTCTGTTTCATTTACTGACTGAATTTACCGTCTGTTTAACCTTCATTTCCTGCTGTTGTCAAAATCTGAGATTATCTGAGAACCTGACAGAAGAATCTCGATCATTTCTGCTGGTCTGGTTTTTAAAAAGGTCCTGTTTGATTTACTACAGCAGGTAGATTAGTGTCTGTTATTGATCGGACTCAGATATTCAGGTCAGTTAATGAATCAAAGTCTGGAGCTGCTGTCTGATTGGTTGGTTTTATTTATTTATAGAAAAGGAAAGTTTTTAAAAAGAGTCTTTCTGGACTTTTTATCGAACAGAATTGTTGTAGATTATCTGGACTCTGTTTATTGATACCTATTGATTAATTAGTGGGACTGTTTTGTGGTCAGTGCTGTGGATTCACGGTCCTTCTGTCCTGAAACTGAGTCTGTTTTTAACACCCGGGACTTTTGAGGGTACACGAAGATCCAGGTCTTCTGTGTCTCAGTCCAGAGGCTGCAGCTTCTAAGGCAGTGGTTCTCAACTGGTGGGTCCTGACCCAAAAGTGGGTCACGGTCACGTTCTGAATGGGTCGCTCACAGCTGGTCAAAAAAGTCAATATTTCATCTGATGTTTGTCTTTTATTTTGAAAGGCAAGCGTTATGTCGTGGTCCTCCTCGGTTTCTTATTAATGTGTCCTGAATGCAGTAAAATTACATGTTTTTTTAATTTGGTCTTTATTTAGTTTAATTTAATATTTATTCACGTTTGTCCTCCTCCGGTTCTTCTGAATCTGCTCTGAATGCAGATATACAAAAAAGTCACATTTCTAATTTTTTTGGTCTTTATTTTGTTTGATTTGATATTTTCTGTATTTGTAACTTCAGTCGTTGTCGTCCTCAGTTCATGTGCAAAAAGACGGAGTATTTATGTTCAAGATTTGAGTCTTTAAAGTTTTTTTTTAATATAAAACTAAAATATTCTTTGTTTGAATTTTATAAAAGTGGGTCGTGACTTGAGGACTACGGGAAATTGTGGGTCCAGAGTGAGACCAGTTGAGATTCACTGTTCTAAGGGACCCAGATCCTGGTCAGACCATCACCAGTCAGTCCTGCCTGGACACTGCGGCCTCATAGTCCTGAGTTTATACCAAAGGAAGGTGTCTGCTGGACGAGCTCGCCGTTATAGTCCGGGTCAACCTTTGAACACCAACGCCGTAAAGACGGATTCAGATTTCTGTGTCCGTCTTTCAGGACGTTCGTTCAGCTTCAAAGACTGTGGTTAGGCTTTTTGGATCAGTACCTGCATGGTACCAACAGTCCTGTACCGTCACAGTCTGGTACCAACGAACGTACCTTTGCACCCCCATGAGGTTGACATCGACGCCATCGTCTTCACGAAAACACTTTTATACTCCGAGGTCGAACTAAAGACTCGTCAGGAACTTCAGGTCCTCCTTTTTGGTTTTGAGAGATGGACTCTGAGATTACCAACCGCTGAGCATGATGGGAGTTCTGAACGACGAGCTAATTATGAGTTTGGAAATATTTCTGACCAATCAGGTCGTTTGTCTGAAATCAGAGTTTTTCAGAGCGAGAGACTGAATGATGATGGGAACCGCTGAGCTCAGCTCTGAGACTGTTATCTGTGTGTGTGTGTGTGTGTGAGTGTGTGTGTGCCCGTGTGTGTGTGTGTGTGTGTGCATGTGTGTGTGTTCAGTCTTAAGTAGAAACAGCTGACTGCTCTCTCTCTCTCTTTGTCGAACACAGTCTGATTCTGTGGAGGATGGAGAACGTCTCAGTGTCTTTTGTGTCGCTCCTTGTTTTCAGCGGTCTGTTGTTCAGATTCTCATCGCTCCGCAGAGACAAACAGATCCTGAGTCTTGGTCCAGCATCATGGTCCAGGGTTTTTTCCCCTTCCCCCGACCAGGCAGCCAATCAGAGAGCAGGATTCTCTGACTGATGGACTGGAGCCTGAAATGTCGCCCACATCGTGTCTTTGCTGTCGTTCAGCCGCCCTCCACCACCGAGGAAGTCCCAGATGTGGTGTTGGGGGTCCACAGCAAACCTGAGGGACTTGGAGGACTCTTTGGGGACAGCTCAGTTGTTCTTGAGTTCCTCTGAGGAGGTCCCAGATCTTAGAGTTCCAGTGGTCAAAGGTTAAGGGGTCTTTGGCGAGGATGGAGACCTCTTTGAGAAGGTTTCATTGGTCCTTGAAGATCCTCTGGGCTCTCAGTCTGTGTCTTTAAACGTGTCACCTGTAAGGAGGTTTAAGTGGTCTTCAGTTGACCCCTTGAGTTGGTCCCAGAGGTCTTGTAAGTTCTGGTGGTCCTCCTGGAGAAGGTTTTAGATCTTTATTTGGTCCTTGGTTGTCCTGGACCTTGGTCCTTATTCTGTGTGTTTACCTTCGAACATGAAGAAATAAAGCTGCGTTCCAGTAAACAAGTCGGAAAACCAAGATGGACGCCTACAGTTACCTTTTGTCAGCTGTTGTTTACAATTGTCAGCTGTTGTTCGTTGTTGTTAGCTGTAACAGTTGTAAACAGCAGCGTGTTCACGGTTCGACGTTGGACAGTTCAACATTAACCACTTATTTAATTTCACTAAAACGAAACAGAAGTGCTAATAAATAAAACATTACGAGAGTTTTCACTGTAACTCTTTACTGTTTATGACGTTGTCGTCAAGTCGGGGTCGGCGAGGATCGTCCGACTTTCCGAGTCGGAAATCCGACTTCAGAGGGGCGATCCGGATAAAACTCTGACCTGGAGCTCAGAAATCCCGACTCCTGAGTATAACTGGAACACAGCATTTGACACACTTTTACCCATAATGCACTGTGTCTGTTCTTTGAGTGTCAGACCTGATCGTATCTCCTGACTTCTCCTGGAGCGTCGAGGTGCAGCGCTCAGTCCTGATTGGTCAGCAGACTTTAGTCCCGAAAACTCAGAGTCCAGGTTCAGTTTTTGTCGGATTGTTGTGTCTGCAGAGTTCAATCTGACCTTCAGCCAGAGTGTGTGTGTGTGTGTGTGTGTGTGTGTGTGTGTGTGTGTGTGTGTGTGTGTGTGTGTGTGTGTGTGTCTGACTTCTGAGAAAGACCTTGGCGGTGTGTGTGTGTGTGTGTGTGTGTGTGTGTGTGTGTTCGTGTGTGTCCGTGCCAAACGAGACTCTGCGCCCGCAGTAAAGAACAACGGCGGAGCTTTGTGGTTGCCATGGCAACACTATTAGCATACCGAGCTGAAGCGTATTGACTGAAACTTTGACAACAACCAGCCAGGCTGAGGACGGCCAGAGGACACGCTGTGCTCCTGGACGGATTAGAAGACAGAGCCGAGGAGACCCACGGCGGGACTGAGGACTGATTAGCATGTCTTTAACCAACGCTATTCAGAGAGTGTGTGTGTGTGTGTGTGTGTGTGTGTGTGTGTGTGTGTGTGTGTGAGTGTGTGTGTGAGAATTAACATCTCTATTCTGTAGTTTTTTCTCAGCTGATGGTAGTTTGTCATCCTGGACTCTCATTGGTTCTTTCAGACACTCGGTCGTCGTGGTTTTATCTCTTTGGTCGGTTTAGTTTCTTCTCTTTCAACACTTTTCTCCTCCTCCTGCATCATTTCATCGTTGTTTTGTCCTCCTGTAGTTTTTCATCTCTTTGGTGTTTTTAATTCTCAGTCCGTCTTCGTTGGTGTTTTCCTGTGAAGTGACGGTTTAGCTGAGCGGTGTCCTTCTTTATCATCACGTCATTTTCAGCTCTCTCACCCCGAGTTTCCCTCCCTGTCCACAGTCCTGTCTTCAATGAAGAGACATAAAAAATAC